AGTATTCCTTATCGCAAGAACACAGTACCACAGATGACGTGCTAACATGGAAGTAACTTATAACTATAAAACTAGACTTCGGCATTATCGGTTGCGGTTTGGTAAAACTAGGCTTCGGCATACTCGGTTCGGATCGGTAAAACTAGCTTCGGCATACTCGGTTCGGTTCGGTAAAACTAGCTTCGGCATACTCGGTTCGGTTCGGTAAAGCTAGCTTCGGCATACTCGGTTCGGTATAATAAACATGCAATACTCTAGTTGTCATCGCTCCGCTTCGGTTCCGATACATTAAGACACGCAATATTTCTTGTTTTATATTAATCATTGCTGCCAAAATGCCAGCGACTTGCCAGTGGCAAAGTAATTACTCAGAGCGCCCCTCGTGACGGCCACACGCAATATTTTTGCCAGTCGTAGGTAACTGACAATATGTCTTGCTAGTCGTTAGTCAGACGTAATATTTTTGCCAGTCGTAGGCAACTGGCAATATTCCATGCTAGTCGATAGTGACACGCAATTTTTTTGCCAGTCGTAGGCATGCAACTGGCAATATTCCTTGCTAGTCGTTAGTCACATTTAATATTCTTGCCAGTCGTGGGTAACTGGCAATATTTCTTGCTAGTTGTTAGTCACACGCAATATCACTTAGGTAGTCGGCTACCAGCCGACTGCTATCATGGTTTGGGGTGATACTCCATTAGGAGTGTTTCCAACTGTAATGTCATTAATGGTCATAATAACATATATATATATATGGCCATGGTCATATATTGTTTGTGGTTTAATGTCATTTAGGTTAGGGTTAGGGTTAGGATTATCAATTATTAATCATTAATGATATCAAAGTTGGGAACACTCCTAATGGAGCGTTAGCCATGGTTTGCCATTCAAAGATCACACTCAATATTCTTGCCATGTCGCTAGTCGCGTACAACACGTCAACGAGCATAGCAGACAACATTGTTGACAACATATTAAAACATATTGCCAACAAATAGGCAACATATTGCCAACATAGAGGCAACATGGCTGGCCGATCTCAGGGAGATGGTATCTCCTACGTGCCATTGTCCACATCATTCACTGACATCGCCTTTACAGGAGGACCACTTAGCGTTCTGACTACTGCCCCGCCACGAGTCTGCATGCCAACGCATAGTTGTGCATCAAACACATAGAACTGGTATCAGTTAGTCAGAGGATCACGCCGCGTGAGCGAAAATCACGAGCGTGATCGTAATCAGGGAGTGTGTGAACCATCACGGGTCGATCAAAAGTATATGTGCGTGTGTGTGTGTCCTACCTACCTAGCGTAGTCATCACAGCGCTACTGCTGATGTAAACATCAACACGTATAAAGTAGGCCGAGAACACCGTGTGCCGATTATGTCATCGTGACGTAGACATTGTGCATTGTTGCGGATCTCGTGCGCCGCGACCCACGACTGTGCGTGCGTCTCTCGCTCTCGCTCACTCCACATGATCTGTGCATGTGCGCACGTGAGGATACCTGAACAATAGCTCACGTCCGCGTGATCTCGCCAGTTTAGCTACGATTGCGTGTTAGTGTTTGGCGTGTAGGAGAAGTATAGCAGTGACAGTACAGCGTGGCGTTTAATACAGCGTCGTTAGTGGTTTATGTGATTTGGTGAATCGTTGTGAATCGTTCGGATCGGATGTGCTCGGATGTGTCTGTGCTTTGCAGGTGAGTATCAGCTGATTTCCCTCTCTCCCCTCTTCCCCCCACCTTTATTTCTTTCTTTCTCTCTATCTTTCGCCATTTTCCTTTCTCCGTCCCTCTTCTCCCCACCTTTCTTTCTTTCGCTCCCTTCCTCTCTTCCTCTCTCTCTCTTTCTCTCTCTCTCTCTCTCTCTCTCTCTCTCTCTCCATATTCCTCCCCTGTACTCTACCTATATCTCTGACTTGCGGTTTTCCCGCCTCTGGTTTGCTGCTTTTATTCCCCACTTGCTGTTTTGTAACAACACGTGTTACAATAATGTCGCTGATAGCAAATAGCTTAGATGTCCACACCTGAAGTGAATATGTGCTTGCTTACCGATGTTAACGTTGTGTAAATACCTATATTACAGGCATGTCGCTGGCTGCGTGTTCTCTTGACGACTTTACCAGTCTGGATTTCGACTATGACAAGCTCAATATACCTAACCTGGTAAGTGGCACTATAGCTTTTCACCTAGGTCGTAGTATAGTTTAGTATTATAATATCGTATCGTATCGTATCGTATCGTATCGTATCGTATCGTATCGTATTATAGTGGTGTTCTTGTTGGGGTTGGGGGGCAATATCCACCGGATTCGTTTGATCTGCGCTCGACTGTACGAAACACCGAAACGCTTGCTCGACTCTGAACTGCATATTGTAATCTTACTAGAGTTATGGACGCGTTGAACGCGTTGAAGTGAAATCTTGCGTGAAGCGATTACAAAAATGAGTTTGATTTTCATTCATGAACACGCGTAACCCGTAAAGATTATGATCGACGCAATGACACTATACGCGACATTAAACACTGTTGCGCTTTATGAACTCTCCGCCCCTCACGGTTACCGCGCATAACTCTAACTTTATACAACGTGTAACAAGGGCTTAGCGATCTGCTGGCACCTCAGGTTAAAGGGCAATGTAATAAACCCGTTACAGCATTGTAGCCCCCGTCGGTATTATGAAGCATACGTATGTTTATGATCGAGTGGCGGGTCAATTCAACGTAGCGGCCAGTTAAGTTGCTCATTCGTGATATAGTCAGGAGTCTATCAATATTATATATATAGACTCTATCTATAGTATATCTATTGATAGACTCCTGATATAGTAAGGGCGAACGGAGCGCTGTTTTAATCCATGAAGTATAGCTGCAGTAGTAGAACGTAACTCGCTCTGTCACGCTATCGCTCTCTGCCCCTCCCTCTTCCCCCTCTCCGTGCTGGGGGAGGGGGGGTGCACGTTTAGATCGGTTTATGTTATGCACCAGCGTTTACCGTGTGCAGAGGGCACGTAAAATCGCTAGTGCATCTTAGTGGATTCTTCTCCTCCTCCTTTTCTCCTCCTATCCTCCTCTCCCGCTGTGGTATGGATATATGGGGGCCAAATATTCATGCACTAACATATGCACTAAAGGCGAGGGAAACCGCACGCGACATGTCGCTTAGAGATAAGTGATAAGACTTTTCAGCCAATATATGCCAAGTAGTAATATCACTGGCATGTGCGCGTTTACCATACATACATTCATTGACTTCAATTTGGAGACTAGAATCACTGTAGGGCTGTGCGAAAAATATCGGTCGTGACGTCAGTTAATTTGCGGTCCACGTGACTATCGCGAATCATTCGGATTAATACGAAATAGAGACGCACCGTCCATGAGTCTTTTCGACATCAAAGAAATTCTGTTAGTCAGGTGTATGCTTACCAGGTACGTAACTATCGACGAGAAAATAGTTTATGCTGTGTGTATTCGGAATATCTGCTTGCAAAACGGGCTAAAAATCGACACATGGTAAGTACATTTATTGATGTGTACTTATGTCTCGATGGTGCTACCATACGGAAAGTTTGTTGTATTAGTATGCAGAGCAGAATGAGAGTCTAATACGTATCACCTAGACCTGTCAGTGCGAGTAAAATTGCAATATCGAAATTAAAATCCAAAAATAGACCGGCGTTTGAGCGTTACGAGTTTTCAACATCAATAAAATCAAATGATTACCGCGACCTATTTCAAAAAGCAAAGTTGATTGCTTATTTACAAACAGCAAACATTCGCCTCCACTGCGCGATTATTCAATTATCGACTAATTATGTAAATTCGGGTTTATATAACTGCATTCGCTGCGAGACAACACTGAATTAACACTTAGTAAAGGTCCCCAGTTCAATTTGCGTAACTTTAATTTCTCTAGGCGTACTCACTGCGGTCTAATACGGGATTGCAAACAGCAGTGTATTGATAACTAGATTCGGTGTGTGACGTTGAATTAAGTTCGTTGAAACTCGCAATGTTCGAGGTGTACAGTATAATGTTGTATGTAAACAGTATAGTGAGGAGCGAAATTAGATATCGTGGCGTTTCGAATAACACCAGAATGATGATAATCAAAGACGTTGACATCTAGTAATTTTCCGTACAGGTAAGTGTAGTGATGATGGGTGGGTCACAAAGTTCATCTCGCGATCTCACATCACTTTTAAATAGTAAATTAGTCTTTTAAATAGTAAAATAGTACATTATTACACTGTTATCGGCAGATGATACCAGTGCCAAAAACACGCGAAAGTTTACTCACGACAAATACTGTTTCGCGAATGTAGTGCGATTAAAAAAATCACTTTATTTTTTTCAACATCGCGATGTACATTAATTAAACCTGCGCCCATCGGTCCCATTTCGTTATTCGTATATATCTATTCGAAGAGCGATATGCCGCTTTGGCTGTACGACAGACAGGCCATTTAACAATCTAGTCGAAGTAAATTTACTCGCGCTATAATTTTGCGACGCGCTCTGTCGTTATGAGGCGTTTCTCACGCTAGTCGGTCTCCACGCTAGCAGACGGGCTCCGTGAATAAGAGAATCACACTTATTGAGAATATGATGTCATTGAGAACAGCATTAGATGTGCATTGTGCGGCGGGAAACAATTTTTGTGTGTGTTTATATGAGTTCAATCTAATGTCCTCGACCTCCGTTACCGCCGCCTGCTGCTTCGGCACTCGCGGGGAGTCACGGTCTCCCACACTTAGTATTGTATTGCCGACGGCTCTCTGCTCTACACAGTAAAGCTAGTCATTCAAGCCATTCGCCAAACCTGCACAGTCGCATTGCTTGTGGTGTGGGATGCTCCCCCGATGGGTTCATTGCACCTTTCCGCACGCGCGCGCGCGTGTGTGTGTGGCTGTGCAACGTATGTACGTCGCATGGGTAGGGGGTACCGACAGAATCGTTATTGTTTCGATACATATTCGAGTGAAACTTTGTGGAGCGAGGCCGTCCCGTACGTCGAGTTTACGTCGTAAATAAAGAAGATTATATAGCTTCGTAATTATTTTCTGGATGGACGTTACGCTAATTACGTTTGCATCGTGTGGGGGTGTCATAGAATGTATTTATGTATGAATGTGAAAACCATCAAAATTGTCGGTCTGTCTGTCTGTCGGTCTGTCTGTAGGTCTGTCGGTCTGTCTATCTGTCTGTCTGTCTGTCTGTCTGTCTGTCTGTCTGTCTGTCTGTCTGTCTGTCTGTCTTTCTGTCTGTCTGTCTGTCTGTCTGTGTATCTGTATGTGTGTCTGTGTGTGTGTCTATCTGCCTGCCTGTCTGTCTGTCTGTCTGTGCGTCTGTCTGCATGTCTGTCTCTATGTATGTGTGTCTGTCAGTCCATCCGTATGTCTCTCTGTCTGTCTGTCTCTGCCTGTCTGTTTGTCTGTTCGTCCTACCATACGATCCCTCCGTCCGTCACGCCACCTAGCTGCGTTGTCTGTCCGTAACACAAACGTCAGAGTCAACGACGTCTAATCTGTTATCACTCGTCCGTTGTTCCCGCCGGCTTTTCCCCAATTAACCGCCTGTCGCGGGGCTAATGCGGTCGCTATGTACATACGCGCGAAATATGAGTCCGTTCGTTCTCGCACGCCCGTAAGCACGTTTGTTCACGCGTATGCAGTAGAGCTCTATCTCTCTCTCTCTCTCTCTCTCTCTCTCTCGTTCTCAGCAGCGTTGACCCGGGTCACGAACAATCAGAACGCGACACGCTGTTATAACGACATCGGTGTGCCGCCGCACGCGGTGCCTACCGTATGCAGCCAGTCAACAGCCGCGAGCATGTAGTTTATAAGCAGCCGTTAAGGTTGACAAGTATAGCCATTGTTTGGGAAGTCTCCGAATAACTTCACTGTGTCCGTGTAACCCGCTCCGAGCAGACGCACACACGCACGCACGCACGCACACACGCACGCACGCACGTACGACGCACACACACACACACACACGCACGCGCAGACGCACGCCACGCGCACACACACGCACGCACGCACGCACGCACGCCACACACACACACACGCGCGGCGGCGCGTACTGGTGAACGTCTGTATAGGTACTGCTGTAAGTACTGTGGCACGTACACGCATGATGGGTTGCATAGCCGTAAATCGGATCGCATTGACAAAATTGATTTCGCGCGCACAATGCACATCTAATGCTGTTCTCAATGACATCATATTCGCCAATAAGGTGTTCTCTTATTCACGGGAGCCCGTCTGCTAGCGTGGAGACCGACTTAGCCGTCGAGCAAGGCCTCATACGACAGAGCCGCGTCGCAAAATTATAGCGCGGAGTTAAAATTTACTTCGATAGATTGTAAATGGCTGTCTGTCGTACAGGCCAAAAGCGGCATATCGCCTCTTCGAATTAGTATATATATACGAATAACGAAATGGGACGATGGCGCGCAGTTTAATTAATGCCCTACCATACGCATGTTTGAAAAATATAAAGTGAAGTTTTTTTAATCGCACTACATTTCGCAAACATATTTAGTTCGTTGAGTAAACTTTCGCCGTGTTTTTGGCACTGCGTATCATCTGCGTAACAGATGTCAATTAATGTACTATTTTACTATTAAAAGATAATTTACTATGTAAAAGTGATGTTGCACGATCGCGAGATGAACTTGTGACCCACCCATCATCACTACACTTACCTGTACGGAAAATTACTAGATGTCAACGTCATTTGATTATCATCATTGTCATCATATGTTATTCGAAGAACGCCAACGATATCTAATTTCACTCCTCACTATACTGTCTCAGAACATTTTGCGGTTTCAACGACTTAATTCAAACGTAACACACCGAATTAGTTATATACAGCTGCTGTTTGACAATCCCGTTATTAGGACCGCAGTGAAGTACGCCTAGAAGAAATTAAAGTTACGGCAAATTAACTGGGCGACCTTTACAAAGTGTTATTCGTGTAGTCTCGCAGCGAATGCAGTTATATAACCCGGAAATTTACATAATTAGTTCGATAATGATAATCCGCCGCAGTGGAGTGCGAATGTGTTTGCTGTTTGTAATAAGCATATCACTTTGCTTTTTTGAAATTAGGTTCCGGTAATCATTGATTTTATTGGATGCTTGAAAACTCGTAA